GATTGGGTTGTTATCTTAGGGATTGGGATTTGAGTATTAGAAGCACATTAGGATTGGGTTTTACTTTTGTCTATAAAAAGGAGGGGCTTTTGGCTTCTAGGGGAGGGGAAAAAATTGGGGAAAAAAAAACAGAGAAGGGAGAAGGAAAAATCTGGGAGGCCGCAGCTACTGTGAAGCAAAAGAAGAAGAAATCTTGTATTCTGAAGTTTGCCGCGAATAAATAAATTGGTTTTCTCCTTTTCAGGTGTGTTTTCTTGAGAATATGGAAAATTTTGGATCTTGAATCTTAGTTTTTTGCATCTGTTTTTTTTTTCTTTTGTTTCTTAGTTGCTATATTAATGTGGAGGAAATTTTTATTGGGTATATTTTTGTTGCATACATAGTTTCAGCCTTTATTTGTTTGTCCCAAGTCCTGTTCGTCACTGGGTTTCATGGCTATTTCCTTGTTAAACCAATAAAAATCAATTACCGTCATTTAGGATGTCGTTTAGAAGCTGCTATCTTTTCTTTTCTGGGACTTGCTGTTCTTTAAAATACATTAGGAAAAAAAAACAGAAACGAGAGCAGAGGAAAGCTGCAGAAAAAAGAATATATATATATATATATATATAAAGAAAGAAAGAAAAGAAGCAAAAACGGAAAAAAAAACAGAAAACAAAAAAAAGAAAAAAGAAAAAAAGAAACAAAAGAAACGGGAAAGAGGAAAAATGTAGAGGATGATGAACAGTAATTGTTTTGACTTTTTTCTTGGGCAGTTATTATTGATAAATAAAAAATTGAAACAAAAAGAAATAGAATAATAAAAAAGCAGAAACGGGAAAAGGGCAGTGATATTTTTTTATTATTTTATTTCTTGTTTTTTTTTGTTTTATATTCTTGGTAATTATTATTTTCATAAAAATTGAAATTTCTCAAAATTAAAGTATTTGGTAACCATATTTATATAAAAGTTATGGGATGCTTAACACCTTTCCCATGCTTAACCGACCCTCCGAACCTAGTTAATTTCTGCGTAGACCTTGGTGATCTATCCCACCTCATTTGGATAAATGGCGACTCCATCTATTTTGGCACGTCAACAGAGCAAAAAAAACAAGTCCTATTTATAGGACGCAGGGTTATGTAACTTCCATTATTATGCATACACTTAAAAGCAATGGTAAGTTCCTCATTGTTTTGCCACCAATTT